CAAACTGAAGTTCAAAAGTTACTTGATCACTGCTGGATTTGGATCAGAGCTTCCTGAATAACACACAGTTAATAAAACAGTGCGATTGTGAAGAAAAACTCGAGCGAATGCAAAAAAAAAAAAGCCCAGATTGTTATTGTTCTTTTTTTAAAAATTGTTTTATTATTTTCAGTTTATTTCCAGAGTGAGGTTACTCATTTCTGTTTAGTCTTTATAGTTTAAAAATGCTTTACTCTTGTTAGCCCAGTTAGTAACTTGCAATTTTGCTAAGTGGAATCATAAGCCCCTCCACTCCACTTTCACAAACACTGGACACGCCCCTGCTCATCACTAATTGCAAGAACCCACTTAGCTTTTCGCCTCTTTGCTCAATGTTCATTCTGTTTGTTTTCAAAGCCAAACAGAAGCAGAAACAGGTATGTTGGGGTATTCATCTGTGTATCACTCTGCTCCGATTATTGAATTTAAATGTTTTTATTACATTTTTATAACTTTAAAATCGATCTCTGTGATTGTGTGTTACTGTAACTTCCACATATCTTCGTTTTCATGACTTCCACACTGTCTGCTTGTTGCCTGTGCAGACTGAACATGTTCCCCCGTACGATGTGGTCCCTTCAATGCGGCCGGTGGTCCTCGTGGGTCCTTCGTTGAAAGGCTACGAGGTGAGTCAGCCATCAGTACTGTTCTTCAGTTATTCGGGCCTGGTTCTGTTTAATCTTGTGTTTTGATGCATGCAAATGAATTTGATTTAAATATTAAATGTATTTTTTAGAGATCGTTTTTTATGTATTTTTTTATTATTTGCAACAATGCAACATTTGATCACAGTTGCATTTTGGTCCAGTCAGAAAATATTGCAATAGCTTTCTGACAAATTGATGCAAAGCAAAAATGACACATTTTAGCAATAGTTTGGCCATCCTTTAACTTTGTCTCTAGCGTGAACATTTATGAAATTTGAGATTCATGCTGCTCATGATGAGTCATTGGCAGGTCAAAATCTCACTTTTTAGCTGCAAACATTATGATGTCCCATAGTAGCCTCTGCTGTAAAATGTGTATAATTAGTAAACTCGCATTGTTATTATGAGCACATTAGTATGCTGACACAAGCAGTTAGCTGGAAGTACCAGTGTGCCTAAGTGCAGCCCACAGAGCTGCAATGTACCATATCGCTTTTCCAGAAAAAGACAAATAAGCTATTCTGAGGCATTACTTAATGTTGCAGTAATCTAACTGGGAATTAGCCATTATGTGAAGCCTTTCATTCACTTTGCTTTTATTAACAAAGAATAAAAATTAGGAAATTAAGCAGGAAATTAAGCAATAATATTTACTGTAACTATATGTTAAACGTATTTAGATGTTTGAGTTATTTCCAGCTATTTTCTGCTCTTTTTCTCTTCTGGATTCCCTTTCTAGCATGAGTTTAATCCAGTGTGGATGTTCTGATCCAGTAAAACTGGGGTGTTTGGCTTCCATTATCCCATGAACACTTTTACTAAGCCGCAGTCCCAGCCTGATGAAATTAAAGGGCACACAGTAGGCATCTTTGATCCATCTGAGAGCTACAGAACTGCATGTATGCCCCTTTGTATTAGCCACACCATGTGTTATACTCCCATACTGAACAGACACGCACACACACACATGCACAGATGAGACATATGAAAACCCACTGCAGTCAAAACGAAATAATGTCAGAATGCATCAATTTCGATGACTCGGTGGATGAATATGTGAGGCATGCGCTTCAACATTTTCTCCCTGCCTTGCTCTTTCCTCTGTGGCGGTGCAGGCTATGAGCCAAGCTGTTTGTTTTGTGTGTGTGTGTGTGTGTTGAAATATTTATGCGTTGCTCTGGTAATGTGCTTTGGGGATGCTCCAGTGGTGAATGCCAGGCTGCCTCTTTCTCTCATTCCCTCACATTCTCTTTCTCTGTGCTCCGTCTCTTGTGTACAAATTATTTTCGGCGACTCATCAGGGTTCTTCGGCACTGTCTCTCCTCCTTTCCACTCCTTTGCCTTCTTTCCTCATCTCTCTGTTTCAGCGTGGAAGCTTCATCCTCTACTCCAAAGGCCATTCATTTTTCAGGACTGTTTGAAAATAGACTGCTTCCCTTCATCCTGGCAGTGCACAAACATCATTGTGCAGCTCAGACATCCAAGTGATTTAACAGTGAAAAAAGAAGGACTGTAATGCTGCTCATTTTTATCTGTGCTGACTCTGCTGTCTCTTTACAAAGCTATAACTGATTCGTCAGTTACATCACTGTCCTTCCAGCTGTTTACAGCTTCATTACAGTGTGTGACAGCTGTATTAATCCTCATTTAGTGCAGACACTTAACGTCAGGTGTCACTAAAATCAGTGAAACATGCAAGAAATACTAAAGAGCAAGACATGTGTGCATGAGTGAATGCATATTTCGCAGCCCTTTCTCTCTCACTTATCTTCCTTGTTTCTGTTTCCTAGGTAACAGACATGATGCAGAAAGCTTTGTTTGACTTCCTAAAGCACCGATTTGACGGCAGGTGGGTAACGGCTGTCTGTGTCACTCTCTGCAGATGCAGAGCAGCGTACAGTAACGCTACGTCTGAACTGCCGAGCTGTTCGTGCGTTTCCGCATTGCACGTTTCGTGCTCGAAAGCACACACGATGACGATGATTTATTTTTAGTTGCGAGCGAGAAGGAGCGCGAGTTCGTCTCCTCCTTTGAAATGGAACAGTTGTGGATGTGATGTGATGAGACGCTTCTTGTTTAGGATCACTATTACCCGGGTGACCGCTGATCTGTCATTGGCAAAGCGCTCAGTGCTGAACAAGAAAGCCATAATGGAGAGATCCAACACACGCTCAAGTCTGGGTGAGATTTAGATTAAAAAATTTTTTTTAAACTTGTCTTTGATCTTTTTTTGCTCAATAACGATGGACAGATGGATGCTAAAAATAGACGCCCCTTCTGTCTTCAATGACAGGAAAACTTAAATAAGTGATGCAGCTCTGTTAAAAGTGGCTTATGCAACTCTCTGCCATTCACAGCTGAGGTCCAGAGTGAAATAGAGAGGATCTTCGAGCTGGCCAAGTCTCTTCAGCTGGTCGTCCTGGACGCAGACACCATCAATCACCCAGCACAACTCCTCAAAACCTCTTTGGCTCCCATCATTGTCTACGTCAAAGTCTCATCACCTAAAGTAGAGTACAATCCTCAAAGCTGCCTTTCTGGTCATATTCTGGATTCTGAGCAAACTAGTGGTTAATTAAACGTCTGTGGCACTTTTTTAATTATTTAAATATTTGCTGGTTCTCAGCATCTGAGGGATCGTACACAAAATGTCTTGTTTTAGACAAGTTTACATGGTAAATGATGTACATGGTTACATGGTTCTCTCCAGGTACTCCAGCATCCTCCAGCAGTCCAAAGCAGTCCATGCAATTAAGAGTTAGGTTAATTGGTTTTTGTAAATGACTCCTAGGCGTGAATGGTTCTCTCTCTGTGTTGGCCCTGTGACAGGCTGGTGAAGTCTCTCGCCCAATAGTAGCTAAGATAGGCTCCAGCCTCCCTATAAACCTGAATAGGATGAGAGGAAGAAGATGGATGGATAAATGATAACAGAACTAGGAAGTTCAACTCGGAAGGTTTTAAAATAGTACACTCCCCGTACAGATAAACATTTTTTTGAAGGAGCTCGAAAGAGGCAAATCAATGAGGAGAAATCATTTGGAAGAATTGAAGAGGAATTGAGACTTTGATGACTCATAATGGCAGAACAGAATCCCAGCAGTGACAGGATTTAGAGCACTGAGTGACTCTGAGTGGGAGATGGGGAGGAAGTGGGTTGCACAAATGAGAGTCGGAAAGGGAGAATGAAAGAGAGCGTAGATTTAAACCACACAGAGTGGAGGCTGATTGGCTCAAATAAGGCGGGTGAGAAGATGATTGGACTAGAGTAAAGATGTCAATATTGAGACGGACAGCACGGAGAAGAGGTAGACATGGAGACAGGAAAGCAGGCAGATGAGTGATTGCAGATCTTTCTTACTGAACGTACGCATAAGCGTTATTTAAACACTTTCTGTCTGTAGGGGGCGTGTCTAATGCGGTTAAAACTGATACATTAATTGTATGAAATTAAATTAAAACCATGCTCGTTCATTTTTTGTGTGTGTCTGAATCATCTGGCAGGTTCTTCAGAGGTTGATTAAATCTCGAGGGAAATCACAAAGCAAACACCTCAATGTCCAGATGATGGCGGGGGACAAGCTCGCTCAGTGTCCGCCTGTATGTCACGTTGTGTAATTAAATTATATTTTAAAAGTTTAAAAAGTTTTCATTTAAGGACTTTGTATACGTTTTGTCTTATCGTTTTCTGAATCAACAGGAGATGTTTGATGTCATCCTGGATGAGAATCAGCTGGAAGATGCATGTGACCACCTTGCAGAGTACCTGGAAATTTATTGGCGTGCTACGCACCTCCCCTGTTCTGCCCCAGTGAATCCCTTACTGGACCAAAGTGTGATAACTCCACCGTCTGCTAACTCCAGCCAACAGGTGAGAGGAAAAAGAAACTCCTCAGGTGGTGCTTGATTTACTACTTTCGGGTGCATTATTAATCGTATATCCTTTGCTTCCTGTGTCCGTTCTAGTTTTCTGAGACTCAAGAGTTGATAGAATGAGCACTACTTCAGATGTAGGTGAGATGAAATCTGTTTTACTTTTCTGGATCTGCTATCGTTACCGTCTCTTGAAATTTGCCCCTTCGACCTCCGCAGGAGCAGCTTGTGCTGTCAGCTGGGGTCGGACAGTCGTAGCGCACAGGGACCAGGGCACCACCAGGGGGCAGCAGCAGCAGTCCTCGTCTCTCCAAACCTGGCCACCACCTTCTCCAGCCACACCTGGGCCAAAGAAAAGAGGAAAAGCAGAGTATGGTGAGAGAGAAGGAGCAGGAGGCTGGTGAGCTGGAAGGAGAGAAGACACAAAAAACAGGAAGGAGGAGAATGATTTGATCAATGCTGCAACAGAAGAAGGAGCCTCCACCTCACTGCTGCCCCCTCGGCAAAAGCTCCCTGCTCCCACTACCACGCGACAACTCAGGGCCAATTTCTACAGCTCCACGTGCACTGCTATTGCAGAAAAACAGTGTAGCAGTGCAGTTACAACTCACTCTCTGCCCCCTTTCTCATATTTTTCTCTCACCGTGACCTTAAACCTGTACCTCACTCCCCGCTTTTACATTTGAAGTCACGTCTCCCACCTGACAAAGGTGCGCCAGCCTACGTTTGCTCCCACAGGCAGATTCGCCTCTCACTGTAGCTACATCACACACCTGTAAAGTTCAGAGGAAGTTAGCCTACAGTCCTGTAGCATAGCAAAGCTACCAGTTTAAAACCTATACACCCTCCCAACACAGGGTTCCAGGGAGTTTGTGTCTGATACGCGTCCCTTAAAGACGGTGACAGAAAATCAGCTTTGTACGTCTTCCATCTCTGCAGCTCTCGACGAGTTGTCATTCCAAATGTTTAACCAAATGTTTTCTCTACAGCACAAATGCAATGTCAGAGGCATCATGTTGTCACTTATGTTAGAGGACTCTTACTTTCCCTCACTCGCAGCTCCTGTTTTTATGTTATTCTTTCTATTGACCTTTTTACTGTAACTGTCGTTACTACTGTTTATAATCCGTAAGCTCACTCTCAGTGTCACTGATCGCATATCTGTACACAACAGTGACGCTGAACATGTGTATAACGAGCACACACATGCACAGACAGTTTATATGCATCTTTGTCACAGCTATGAATGTATAAACGCTGGTCCACTGGCTTAGGAAGGATTACTTATAATAACTGTGGTTTGCAGATGATTGGAGGCAAAACCCGAAAAGGTCTTTTATCACATCTAAATATCCTAAATACTTACACTTTACAAAATTTGACTGTATTTACATGATTTTTCTACCCCAGAGAAAAAAAAGTTTGTAAAATTGTTTTATCCTCCCAGAAATAATTGATCACAGATAACCAATGTTTAACACGAGTTATTCCACAACTGCTCCTGACTTAAGACTAACTTCAAAATATTCATTAAGATTGTTTGAAAGTAAAACTTTAAGCTAATAATAATAATAATAATAATAATAATGGATTTCCAACAACATCTGTAGACAATTAACAGTTAAATATTACCTCAGTGTGTCTTCTGAACGTGGTGCTTGATGATTGTAGCTCTAAATTACAATAAGCGCATCACCGTAAGGTACGCAGCCAGGGACATGGTTATTTATTTATTTACGTCCAATATTTTGCTGTTACTCTCTGTCAATATAGCGTCAGCATTAAGTTGCTCTGTGAATAAGAAGCTGTGGACACTCACTACACTACACCACCGAGAAGACTTCATCTCCTCTACAGGAACAAGATCTCTGAGCACATGAACTGATTGTAAAGGTTTACTTCCTAACAAGCCTGGGAAATTATTTTATTATCACTGGACATGAGGGTGACCTCTGGTGATGTATTTACGTTGGTACCAGGTCTTATAACCATTATTACTTATTCTCTGCCCACATAGCAGGATATACATTATATATATGCATAGGCTTTAATCAGAAACATGTCCGATTTCATGTGCGCACAACCACCAGTGTTCTCGTTTCTGCATCCATTTCACGTCTTGCATTGCTCACGAAAATGAATGCGTCTCAGTAAGCACTTCAATAATCGCATTAATGCAACCGCTTGTGTCGTTTAAAGCAACAGAATTCAGCTAACATATCATACATATAAATAATCGAATATATGTGCATGATATATTGTATTCCTGTTTCATCAGAAGGGCTTTTTCAGATCAGCGTCACATGAGCCGTTCACTCTTCAGACTAAATCAGCGCGACCTATGTAACCACTTACATATGCATTATAAAGGCTTAAGTGTAAATACTGTATATTAAATATGCAGATACTATTATTATTATTAGCAGATTGCACATGAACAGCAAAAGCTGGCAGGTTTTAACCAGTACACAATTCTATAATCAGCGCCTCAGAAAGCATGTGTTTATATGTAATATCCTCTTTCTTTCTTTTTTTAAAGAATGGTGCACAGCTTATATAGGACCACTATTAAGGTTGCTTCCACTAACACCCTGATTCATTTCTGAAGGGCCGGGTTTGAGATACATAACTTCTACTTGATGAAACACAGAGAGCACAGTACCTTCTTTCGATAAAACCTACTCAGCTTCTCCTGTTGCTTAATTTTTATTGCAAGAAATTTATACAAAAGTCAATTATACTTCTTTGGTTTTCCAAAGCACAATTTTTTACAATTATCATTTCCTATTGCGTTTCACTTGCCTAAATTCTGTATGCAATACAAAGTTTAGCATCAACGAGACACTAGCTGAGACTATCAAACTATCTCCTCAGTTAAGATGGAGTATAATTGCACTACTATTATTTATACTAAACGTTATGCTGTATCCACCTCCAACACAGAGGGAAAAAAACTGTTTGGCCTGATGATGATGTCAAGGTTTCTCATCGTTTCTGACAAGTCTGCAAGATAAATGATATCCAACAGTGTCTGATGATGATGTGTAATGGGTGCATCTTTTGTCAATAGCACACGAGAAGGAGGAGGTGAATAAAAAAAACATTTCATTAACGTTTGTGTGACTTTTCATCAGCTATTCACAAAACCACCAACAGGGGGCAGAAGTGGCATTCTAGCTATCTATGCAACAAACAAGATGCAGTTTCCCATTTTGACATCAATCAAACAAAATTGAGACAAACTGAAATTAAAGTTGTGAGTTTGTCCTCCAGCCACCCCATAGCACTTCCCAACCACACTACTGGACTAACTGCAGATTAATGTGAGGAAGAAAAATCTTGTGGAAATCTTCTACTATATAAAAACGTTTCTGCCCTTAGTTGTACCTTGGATGAGACACCCATGTTTAGCACAGTAAGAAGGGGTGGGAGGGGTCATAACAAATTTAACAACATCTCTATAATCAACCCACACATACTTTTGCATCATTCACTGAAAAACAATCTACTAACATCATTTATATAAGTTCTAATAAGCCACTTGTTTTGTTCATTATGACCTGTGTTTCCTATGTAAGCAATATATTATTGTATTATTCAATTAAGTGTCACCAAATTTCCCAGAGGAACCCACCCGAGGGATTAATAAAGTTTTATCTTATCTTATCTTATCTTACTAGGGAGGCTGGAGCCTTTCCCAGCTAGCTGGGCGAGAGGCAGCCTACACCCTGGACAGTTCACCAGGGTTATCACAGCAGGGCTAACACCGGATTAGAGTTAGAAACAAATCTGCTAACATTGTTCATATACATGTTATTTGGAACATGATCATCTTTTATCATTAGTCCAGGGCTTACAGTACAGAGAGCCACCCCTCATTTCTTTCTGTTTTATTAGCAAAAACTGGGAAATAGGCTCAGTGTATATGTAAACATACATGGAAACACAGTCTGTAAGGCAAAAACAGACTTTTTTTATTCTAATGAGACTGAAAGTCAATGTTTAGTATGGACATCTTTAACATCTAACGTCTATTCTTTAACACAGCTCGATCAGTCTAGTAGGCAAGTTTCCTTGTCATTTCTTGAAGACGTCTTCGGGAAAAGTCCTCCAGCTTTTGAGTCCATTCTCTTCTATAATGATTCCACATTGAGGTCCAGACTCTGGGAGGCCGATCCATGACTGGAAATATTCTATTGGATGTTTTTCTTTCCAGGTTTGCATTTAACAAACTGGCAGCGTGTTTGGGCTTTTGCCAGTCACACTCTTTGCATGTTGACATCCTTGACCTGCCGCTGATTTTGGGCTCTGTTCTTGTGTAATTTGCTTTTTCTCTCTCATTGCCTTCCTTAAGATGAACTTCTTCACATCCACCCTTCCAGTGCAACCATCGTTATGAGGCTTCATTAAGCAATGTATGGATCATCAGGCCCTGTGTCATGTTCTTGCTGGATTTTTTTCTTATTTATCAAGAACATGACTTTCAATTAGTGTTCATCTGCTATGGATTGTTTTTCAATGTATTTTTGTTCAGGCTACTAGTAACAAGGTGACTAAAATACGATTTCAAATCGGTTCTTTTCTAAATATTTTGTTATGTTTAGACACAAGATTGGTTAATCCCTTGATTTGGGTGATCTTTATATTCAAATGATGCACAGATCACTGTTAGGTGGCTTAACAAACAAACAAGAAAAAACAGCCAGGTAAAAGGACTGGACTCAAAATAAATGAAAAAGCAAAGCAGGAAAACCTGGAGAACCATTGCTCTCTCTGCAGTACTGTGTACTCTATAAAACCATATTTCACAAACTGACAGATTTATATAACTTCCATATTTGATCGAATCGATGCCTATTTACAGAGAGACTCAAAAAATGCAAAATGATGCTTAAAGTGTGTTAATTTGATGCATCACATGTTAAATTTATGCCAGACCTCCGGGGTTACAGCTCCATCTGGTGACGATTTTGAGGCAGAAAAATAAATAAATAAAATCAGAATCTTGACTCATCTTTTGTTTGTTTTTGTAGACTGCCACCACTCTCAGTCTGTTGATTTAGCTACCAACACTGTCACCCAATATATCAAGGTGTGATAGCCTAAAGTGTCAATGCTTCCTGCAGTCAGCCTCCTCCTACCTCTCTTCCTCATCTTCCTGTACCAGCCATATTGGAAGGTGTCACTTTATGCCTGATGATTATTCACAGCCACCTGTCTCTGTCCCATCAGAGGGCATCTGTGGCGATCACACAGACGTCGTGCTGCAGTTAGTTTAGAAGGGTTAGAGAGAGTTCGTAACCTGCAACTTTTCTTTTTCATACTTTCTGCATCACTGAATCTTATTTACTTTACCGATCAGTGGGGAAGTATTTTTTAACTGACCTGTAATTAAATATTTAAAATGCAATAATTATGTATATTGATATTGCTCTAGTTTTAAGTACTGTATGAAGCTTTGAGGTTTTACATTGTTTCTACTGGAGTTGCTGTGTTGTTGAAAGCATTGAACTCAGATAAGGATTAGTCTAAAACACACATTTTATCGTGGAATACAAGTTTATTACTTGCCCTCACAGTTATTCCCCTGCCTTCCTTTAGTCTGATTTCATAGCTTCTCCTGTTATCTAAACAATACAAGATTTTTAGATAGATTTGTCTTTAACCCTTCAAACTCTAAAAACACTAAAACTTCAATTTATTTGAGCAAACCTCACAAACCAAATAGAGAGTACTACCTGGTCAGATGTGATCAACGGTGGGAATGAAAGGCTAACAGCATTATAGAACATTTCCCTCTGCAGTCACATCCTTTATTAACAACCTTATGCGTGATGGCAGCGAGACGCGTTAGGCTGTAAAAGACAAGGCAGCTCGACGGATGAATGATATGAGCTGTTTGCGAACAAAGGCAAATTGCTTTGACCCACTGGGTCAAAACTGAAAGAGCTGTGATTGGCAACAGTAAGTAAATTAGCCAGGAGGTCGCCAGACAAAGAAGAGGGAAGTTAATTGACTTTTATCTTTTAATTTCCCCTTAACAACGAGGCGCTGTTTCCATACAGTAATAACCTCCAGGGTGTGAAAGTCAGCTTTTGCGTGTTTCCAGGGCTTTGAGACCAGGCCTCTGACTTGACCCTGTGGGAAGCCGATAGATGGTCACCTCAGGGGGGCCTCACACCGTCCCACCGCATGTCAACATGATGGCATTACTGAGTAAGCACACAGACAAAGGTCAGACCTTTGATCGGTAAACAATCATTCAAACGTTGCGCCATTCCCATCTATCAATCAGTGCTTTCAAAATGATGTTTGTACTATTACACTTCTATATAATATAATAGTGTTAAATAATAGACAGTCAAAGATTATACATTAATTTGCCCCACAAAGGGGGAAGAGATGTTTTTTTTAATAATAATTAAAAATAAAAATACATTTTTTTTATTTAAAAAAAAAGCCAAAGGAGACGTGTTTGCCAAATAAATGTGACTTGACTGAAGTGCAAATTAAAATAAACTAATTAGCAGGGAGAGCCCCATTGTTCTCAGCCAGCGGTGCTATCGATTCAGCCAGTCGAGTCAATTTAATCACTCAGTTTGTGACAAGACACACAGGTGACAAAACAACAGTCTGCAGGAGGTGGCTGCAGATTACATTGTTCTTTAATCTTCTATGATAAAAAATGAAACTATGTAAACCGATGATTGCAGGGAGATTAAAAATTTTTTTAGTCCTACTCGTGGACAAATGCGTCTAAATCTATTACACTTTCTTTCTTGCGCAATAATCTTGGAAGTATTTCGAGATATCTGCTGTCACATCCTCCCAGACAGAATAACTTGAGAGCATCACCGAGTGCAGTAAAGGGAGCCTGTGGAATGTTGCGCTCCTATTGGCTGCTGCTTGCCTGTATAAAGAGCCGCAGTGGCAAATTCAATCAGATCAACTGCGGGCATCCTTCGAGAGCGAGACACCGGGTTTCTCAGTCAAGCTGGGACAACAATTGCTGGGCTGTTCTGCTGTTTGTTTATCTTTCCCTTTTTCTGCTAAATAAATCCTCTGGAGCATTGTTGGGATCATGAAGGAAAGGAGAAATACACAACCGCTGGTGGTGAGATGTAAACTGGTTCTTGTGGGAGACGTTCAATGCGGAAAAACGGCGATGTTGCAAGTCCTGGCGAAGGATTGTTATCCAGAGGTATGCAAAAATGTGACTCGTGTCGAAGTGAAATATATGAGCAGAAAAGTCTGCCCTGTGCTCTCTTGACAATCGCGGTGTTGGGTTTTCATCAAATGATTTGGAAACGGCGCGGAGAAAACAGTGCGTCTGTTGCGGATAGTGACATATTGCTTGCGCATTTCCTAAAATTTCTTGCTTTTAAGTTTATTTCCTATTTACTCACCTTCATATCATCGGTAGCATTATTGTTTCACCATGTGGTCAGTGGAATTATGTTCTGCGCATTCTTAGCTGGTGCTTTCCTTTCATAGTGGCCTGCGTTGAATATCTGCAGCTGCAGCGATTAAAGTGATTAATTGATCCGAAATTCTGTCAAATTGAGAAAAGATATAGATTTGTCTTATTGCTTTATTGGTCAGTGCGTGTGTTTTGTGTATAGCACTGATTAGTTAACTTCCATTACCTGTAGCTGCCTGACAACTCCCCACTAACGGCACCGTGTTGCTAATTGCTCCCCAGACCTACGTGCCCACGGTGTTTGAAAACTACACAGCCTGTCTGGAACTGGAAGAGCAGCGAGTGGAGCTCAGTCTGTGGGACACTTCAGGTAACCGATCACCTTTTCCGTGTGCATGTGGTGTGTGATCTGCAGTCCTGCTTGCCGCACTGAAGAGGATTTGGCAATGCCGCGTGAATGTAATGAGTGTTTGTTTGTGCTGAAAGGAACACCAGTCTCTGTATTTCTTCCCAGTTATTCATTTTCGTCATGACATTTTTTATTTTGGAGCAAGAAAATGTAAATATTGGTAAAGACTATATAGTCTATTTCCCCCCCTGTTGATGCAGAGGTGCATGGGATGTGTACTTGTTGAACCATATACTCTTTCAAATCTCCCATTTACTACAAATTAAATTTCCTCCGTCCCCCTTTCTTGGATGTGTCTGGATGTAAAGGACTCTGCAGATCTACAAGTGCATTTTTGTGCCAAGTGTGTTGCAGTGGAAAAACTGGGCAGAAAAGACTGATTATTCCGCCTCACTTGTTTTTAATGCTGACTCCGTGCATCATATGTTCATTTACACTAAGCGTGAAAAAGAGGGTCAATGTGTCATTGTAGATCTCCCGGGAAATCTGCTGTTCGGCGTGTTGACCTGAATACTGCGAGCACGGGTCTGCAGCACCTGTTTGATTCCCTTCATGCTCGCTGCACAATAGTTTCTCTCGCCAGGCCACATTCCTCTCCGTCCACACTCGTGCCGCAGCCTGACTAGGTCACACTGGCAGTACAAGTGTGTTTATTTATTCATTTTTGTGCGCACGTGTGTCTGTGTACAACAGATCCTTTATATAACAGACCCATTTGTATGAGATGATGCAGTATTTACTGTGCTCTCATATTTTTCTCCCTCCCGTTATCACAAAGCGTCAAAATGAGGAGAAAAGTGAGTGTAATTCCGTCCCCAGACCAAATCCCGTTTTTTAATCCCAGACTGTGGACTTTTGGTCTGGCCAGCAGGAGTGGGCCTGGTGCCCAGGGATGATGGGCACACAGAGCTACATCCTGTTGAGCAGGACAGTTTTTCTGGAGCAGACAGATAGGAGGGAGCTCAAAAAACTCTAGTGACCTGCATTCCCCCTCCATATGCTGCTCCAGGTCAGCCACTCAAACAGCATGATGCAAGGGATTAAGACTGTGAATGGGACTGCTGGGCAACCTCCTCTGACTGACCCAGTGAGTTTGTGGCTTTCTTTCTTTCACTTGAGCGTTCCCTTTGTTGCTCCCTCTTTGCTACTTTCTGGCTAATCTGCATAGATTGCCCCTCCCTGCCCTCTGGCAAACACCTATGGCACAATTCAATACCAAGTACAACAGAGTACAATATGCACGTGCATAGCAGACTATTTGAAAATGGGCCGCAAAAATAAAATCTATTTTTATTCACAATAGATTTGATTTATTGTGTCCCCCTCACACTCTCAGAGGAGACCACATGTGGTCCCCTTCCCCCTCATCTTTTATAGATGACTCTTTTATTACAGGTATCTGCTGTCAGGCTCGTGGTGATGGGTGACAGGCAGAAAGGGGTGTTTGTTAGCCACGCCGCGCAGTTTCCTCTCCTGTGTCGTAATTTGCTCTAATTGCGTGGAGTTTGTGCCGCCCTGGCCCACACCACACGGAGACGGTCTCCTCATTATCCCAGCTCCCCTTCATTGATTGCACTGACCTCATCACTGGCTCCACATGGCAGGCGGCTCCTTCTCTCAGCTCCAATATGGATTTACAGTCTAAAATCAATCCACCAGTTTTAACCAGGCTTATCTGATCAGGAATGCTGGGGGAAAGGGGGAAGAAGGGAAGGTGAGCTCTGTCTGGTGTAGCGCACAGAGTGAAAAATAAATCCCATTAAGATGTTGGTGTGTAATTTATTTCAGGTTTAATGATGTTGCTGACGAAGCCTTGAAGTTTAAGATCGTACTGTGTGTGTGTGTGTGTGTGTGTGTGTGTGTGTGTGTGTATATAATCACTTATTGTATGATGTAAACATAAGACTGACTTGGAATATATCCAATGTCCATTTAAGCTGATGAAACACTCTGCTGGATTGTAAAAGGGGGCATTTTTAATATTTAATTGTCATGTTGATGACCATATGTCATGTGATTTCTCTAATAGGCACCCAGTTTGTAAAACGTAGGTGCTTTTTAGAATTGTAAGCAGGTACAGTTTAATTCCTCCATCTTTTTCCATCATTGATTCATCAGTGATCTATTTTTTTTATTAGTAGTGTTTAGCTTAAATGTTTCACGGACTGTTGTCCAACAATCAGTTTACACTAGCTGAGAAAAACAATGTTTCCTGCCTTATTTTATCCAAATCAACATTTCAGGGTTTTTAAATCAAACTCTTTGATGTTGGACTTAATTTTCTTAATCCAGTGTCATCAACTATGATGATGAAGTAAAGCTTGTTAGCAGATCATATAATGCTCAGGAAAAAAGCACCTCCTTCACCCTGCAGGGGGCTTCAGCACTAATTCTGACTGGCTTATGTGAATCCAGGGAACAACTGCTTGATGCAATATATGTTTTTTGGAGCGTGCTGTGAAGTCCGTAGTCCTGCGGCAGCACCACAGCTCCCAGTCGGCTGAGTGTGGGTGGAGGCGCAGGGCTCCTCTCGTCCCCATATCTGTGAGTCATCCCATCACTGGATCATTAATCTGTCTGACCTCCGCATTTTCGTAGTGAGAGGAGGAGTGCTAATGATGAAAACAGGCTATGTCACTCACTCGATTTTAGCACACATCCACAGACACAGTTATACTCTCGCTCGGGCAAACACAAAGCCAATCCTCCCCTCCCCCACCTGTAGCCTTCAACACAAGGGTCTCCGTCTTCAGCCCTGTGAAGCCTACATCCACTTAGGCCCAATCCTCACCTCAAACACTCAGATCTGGGCACCGCACCATCAAGACGGATGAAGTTCAGCTCAGCCACAAGAATTTGGTTATACTCCTTTTTTCTTTTCTGCCATTCCCCAGTTAGTCAGCCTCACTCTCCATGTTTTATGCCTCAGAAACTCTCCATCTGTTGTATAGAGGCATGCAAGGAGGAAAGCCATAATTTGGGCCATGCTTATAGGCGCTGCATGAGCACTGATCTGGCTTCCCAAACCATTGTGTGGCTTGCTGCAACGGAGAAAGGAAGGGAAGCGAGTGAAAGACACAGATAGCAGTAACCTGTGATATTACACTGCAGGGGGTGAGGGATTAATGGCAGAGGAGGTCTCTTTGTGATATGGCTCAGTAGGGTATACTTTGGCTCCCGCTCTTCTTTTTCCTGTGGCTTTTTCTTGCCACAATAGTAACAGCTATTTCTTCCAAGATTAGAAACTAGGCCCTGGCGTGTAAGGAAAGTGCTGCCGAAGCTGCACCGATGCCAAGTAACATGTTACGGGGGGTTTGAATACTAATATTGAGGTGCTGTATGTTGCTGTAAGTACAGTATGTTTACTGATTTGTGCATTGTTTGTCCAACACAACAAATAGAAGTTTTATTTATATGTGAGGACAATAGTGACCAAAAACAAAGAAAGAAAGGCGGGGGAGGCTTAGATGTCCTTTGCATCCCCCCCTCCATCTTGGCAGGCTAATTGATTTGTCAGCTTTAAAAGCATCGGCTCTCGGACCTCTGGTGTAGCTTTCCATTGATTGTTGCATTTAGATCAGTGGGCATTTAATGCAGAATCACATCTTGTTTGCTGGCTCTGTGATAACCCCTCACAGGAGATTGAAAAGATTTCTGGAGCTCCCGACCTCTGACTTTCCCATTATATACCTCACGTATATGACGTGGCACAGAAACGTGGCTCTAATCCTTCTGATTTTAACATGTGTGACATTAAATATGTCTCAAATTCTTCAAACACAAAGTTGTGTTTGTGGCTTTTCTGCTACAATTGGGTGTATGTGGTGTAAAAACGATGGTGTTTTCTTATATGTTTGACATCTGTAAATAATTTAATCAAATTGTTCTTCTTTTTTTTTACTCAAGAATAGAAAAAAGTCATTTTTATTTATAAAAGCATAGAAATGGAGCTGTAACACAAGCATGTTCCTTTGTTCTTTTGCAACAGTGTTTACTTTCTTCAGGACATCGAGTCCTGAGGAATTTCATCACAGCTTGTCATTATTCCACTCACGGCACCCGGCAGCTGGCAAATTCAGTTTTACCCTTTGATAATGTGGAAAATCATTAAGTATTCATAAGCACATATCCGTTTTTGTGTACACATACATGCACGCGTCCGTGTTTCATGTGCTTTTTTTTATATGTTTTCTTCTGCTGCATTGTTTCTGCACCGTAAATCAATTAGGACGGTTGTGCAATGAGTTATTACACAGGCTGCTCGTGTTATCTGTAGCTATAAAAGGAACGCTGAATCCCTTTTGGGATTCACACAGAGACTAAAGTAAACATGTTAATCCCATTGAGCAGCGCCTCTTCTGTTTCATCTGATAAGGGACCGGATTCACCTCTGCATGCATCCGAATTTAAAAAGTGTGCGTCTGTGTTAGCGCTTGTGGTTCCGGCGCGTGTGAATCGTTTTGTGTGATGGGCGTTTGTCTGTGGTCCCAATCTCTGTCGCAGAGAAGAGGAATGTCCCCAGCAGTGGGTGGGTGGGCCGCTAGTGGTGTAAAATGATTGAGTGGCAGTTAAGGCGAGCCTTTACGGAGAGCCAGGAGGAATGCCTGATGTAGATGGTGGATTCCAAGGCTGTTGCTGTGGTAACAGAGGGACTGGAGGTATTGCTTGCCGAGCAGAGGATTTTTGGGGGGGTGGGTGGCTTACTTAAGGATTCTGAGCATGAGTGGGAGCGTCTGCCTGCCCCGAGCCCTGCCGTTGCACTTGCGTAATCTACTGCAAGAGAAGATCAATGAGGATTTAGTGCTCAATTGTCATCTTCACTTCTAAAATGCCAGCCAACAATATAGGAGCAGCAAAAGTAGCAGTTTTAGCAACAGCAAAGCGGAGCTCAGCGGGAAGAAGTGACGCCGCGCACACCTAACTCAAGCAGATGATTTCTCTTGCTCTCCTGCTCAATCTTCTTCTTCTTTTTCTTTTTTACCGACTTCCTGTTCTCACAGCTCTTGGAAGTGGCCTAAATTAAAAATGAAAAAACAAATTGCTCTAAACTTGAATGTATACACACTTTATATTACAAATGTAGCTTGAAGCATTGCATATTTAAGATGGATACTTAATTGATCCCACAAGGGAAATTATTGTGTTACAGCAGCAGGATAAAGAATAAAAATGGCACAGCCTACAATTAACAACAACCAGATGCAAATACTGTTATGTGTGTATATATTTTGTATAACAGTCATTTAAAGTAAGACTGAGATTGTGCAAATTGCATTAACAAGTAATACGTAAAGT